ACTGTTGTATACTATACGAGTCAGTAAACCAAAGAACTTAGGTTGTTGGAGTCAGACGGTACAAACCATGAGATTTTTAAACCGCCCTCTTGCTTAGGAGCGCCGGGATATGCAGAGTGTGAAAGATCTCGTAAATGCGACGCAAATTCCTTCGATTGCGGAATTGCAAGAGTGTATGGTGAACTACACTGGACAGACTTTGTGCGCTGGCGAACTAGGCCACAAAATCGAAGCAGTCATGTGACCGTAATTGATCCGTCGCAGCTGCTTGGATTGTTGATCGGCTAAATGATAATTAGACATACAAATGGAATTTAACAAAATGTTGGTGTCTCAAATAGTGTACCTGATGATTAGTTGGAAAACAAAGAGCTATGCGCGGGAGTCTGGTCAATATACATGATCGTTATGGATGAAAGGAGGGAGTATTGTGGTCCAGGTTTGAAACGACTACCTTGATTATTGACTCAACTGGTGGCTGACGGTGAAAAACAGTTTCCTATCCAGTATATTCCAGAGATTTATGCTAAACGATTTAGATTGACAAAACAAGACTAACGGACTTTGGATATAGATATGTGAAAAATATGTAACATATACGACATTCTACTAGCTTTCGATTCAATATCCCCTCAACTTAAAACGGATTCTTTTCATGTCCGAAGTTCTGTTGATGAGGATGACGAAGGCACTAGGGAAAAAATTATACTGGGACTCTTCGTCTGCCTACAAAGTCAGAGTTTGATTATCTTTTTGGCATTTTAAGACAACCAAAACCCCCCTGAACAGACGTATAACGATGCATTCATCACATGTGGTCAGTCAGTACGGATGACCAGTGTTTGAACCGGTCCTATTGAATTAGTAACAGCCACGTGACTGCCCCAGTGATGTGATCCTGTCCGAGGAAATCGGCAATCTCCTGGTGGTCCAAAACTGCTTTTGGGTCGATAGCGAACTAATACTAGCTGAGTTGTGCGTTGGATCGCCATCATCATCTAAATGAACCCGATGGCCATTGGTTCTCTGCAACCATCCACTCTGATACCCACCCCGGTATGTCATGCTTACAGAGTTGCTCAGATCCTTTCTTAGGTAATGGGCGCTCCGCCAGCCTACACGAATCAACGAAAGCTCTGGCTTGATCCCCAGTTGAAACAAAACGCTTAGTAGGCGCGCACCACTCTCCTTCTGCTCGATGAGGGGATTCATACTACTGTTAAAAACTCCCAGGCTTTGTGACCAGCCTAAGGCACGGCATCCTTAGACCAAAGGGTCACGTCCCCTGCTCCACACCGGGAATCTGCGGGCAATCAGGTCCTACCAATACCTCTTATTTTCGGATAAATAAAAATCCACCGCGGATCTTCCGACACGGAATGTCCGAACACCGGTGGATCATGCCAATAATCAAACCGATCGTCTTGAAAATCTCACCACCCGAGTTAAACGGAAAGGAATCAGTTTTGCCGCTCTGAGCGAAACATGGTTGTCTGTTCTAGGAAATCTTCGAAAAGATGGTTTCAGATGCACACTTTATTGGATCCGCTACCCGGCAGGAAACAGTGGCACTCTGTTGGAGTCCATCAAGAAAATTCCTGACCCAGAACTCCGTTGAATTGCTGCACCTCTTGCTTTACTGCGGCTGAGATTGACAGACCAAAACTACGATTGTGCATACGTTTCAAAACACAAAAACAAGGCCTACGCCGAGGCTGATACTCTCCTTCGACCAGTCCTGAAAACTGATAAGATTCTCTTACCGGGAAGCTTCAGTGGACCCGTTGGACCCGCAGATCGCTCCCTGCTTTCTCGAAGGCCACGGTATCAGAACGGCTTTTTGTACTTTGTGCTGTCAACGAGATTTTGCCGCCATCAGCAACACGCCCCAGCATGGACGCATCCACGCAGCGGCCGCCTCTGTTTAGTCGACCAGCGAGGCGCTCAAGAGATGTGCATCACACGACCGATGCATACAGTCGACTATAGAACAGACCACCAGCTTGTCCGAACGGAGCCACACATCCAGATTCGTGAGCCACATTATGTCAAACGCACCAGTGAACGCGCAAAGCTTGAGAGTAAATGTTCAAAAGCATCACCTGGCCTCCGCGCTGAAAGCCTTCAATCCACCCAGTGAGCAGGGAAAAGCATGACAAGCTGACGTACCAAACTGTGATGACGGCACTCAACCAGATCGGGTATCTGCATCAAAAAGATCATCAATGGACTGACAACAACCAGTACTGGAAACTGGCAAATGACTGGCATACTGCCCTAGAGGAAGGATCTACCGAACGGTGAAAAATGGGAAAGGTGGGGACTTCTGGCAAAAAGCTCTATTGTTCCCAGAGAAAATGCTCAAGAATGAGGTGCCCAAACCTTCCGAGGCCATTGAAATAAGCAGATTCGAGTATCGTGTTAGGGTCAGGGGCCATCAGCGTGATTCATCAGAAGTCCTTTACAAACCTCACTCAACATAAGCCAAGCAAACAGCGAAAAACAGTCAGCCCGGCCAAGAAGCGACAGCAGACTTGCTGCTGGGATCCACTACGTGCTGCGTCCTGTAAGGTTTCGAATCACGTGCAAGAAGAACCAGGTGGAGCCCGTCAAGGAAGTCAGGAAGATTCCACAACACCCAAATCGACAGTAGTCATCTTCATTTCACGTCGTCACGTGTGGGTTTGTTCTCCAAAACTTTTAGCCAACACGGTTTTGGAATGGAAAACACGAGGTTCTCCGGTAAGGTTCGTGCGGGTATACGTTCCAAATGCCCATATATCTTGACCTGTTGAGCCCCAACTATTGCTCAGGTTAATCCGACTCACTGTCTATTACTTGTAACACGACAGCCATGTTTCAATGCGCTTACGATTGTTTTGTAAACAAGGTCCTCTAACCTCAGTGAAGTCAGTTTCTGGCGCCAATTTATCAAGCATTGTTCGTTCCTTGGTACTGTGTCCGCCGACTTCACCTGTCAAATTGCAGTCACGGTCTATGCAGCTGCCAAAACAAGTGGACCTAACAGCCCAAACTCAGACTCATCAATCTGACGTTTCCACGGTTTACAAGGGAGTGGAAAGCATGAAGGTTCGAATCGCATGCCGAACACAGGAACAGTCAATTTACAGTAGTGTGTGTCAATGCACGATTAAATGATAACAGAATGTCATCCGCATAGTCCACCAATCTCTCACCAAATGTGATTTTTTGAGAGTGGCCGGATGACGTCAGTGACGAGGTTGAAAAAAAACAGGTAACAAACGGACAACCCTGGCGAATCGTAAGAGTTGTGGGGGTCTCCTTAGAATACTAGAGATCAAGAGTATGGCACAAAGAATACTCACATGTTTCGAGGGCATTTATTGTTGGTCATCTATGTGAAATAGGGTCAATTAGAAGTCTCCTTGAAAGGGGAGGAGTTGGCCGGCGGTATGTTTGTCGCTGTTCACTCACCTGACCTGTGAATGTGTTCAATACGCCTACTTTCTGATCGAAATCCTGTATGTTCCTCCCGAACATGCATGTACATAAGCGAACAGCTGAGGAGAATGGAGATGATGAACGGTGGAACCCTGTCAGAGGCTAGGCGACTGAGCTTCATTCAGTGACCTGTGAACGCATGAAGCTGTCGGAATCGTCGTGTGATTAAATTCTCCAAATCGCTCCCACAGCTGCGTTTCCCTCGACACGAATGCCACAGCAGGTAAAAGAAGTGGAAATTTGACCGTTTCTCCCCCACAGTGCGCTGTTCAGCAATTCGACGAACTGATTCAGACACAATCGCATAGGGTGCGGCTGTTTCCCCATCTTTTCTATGGTTTCCTTGTGTAGTAACAATTCTTTTTTGACACAAAAGCTTCTTCAGTGTTTAGGTTACCAGAACACACGAAATCAGTGTCACATGTCCGTTCGGAGTTCTATTTGGGCTGGCTGTAGCCTACGACCGATGTATAGATTAGTTTGGATCCCCATATTTGCATAATCTCACTATTTCTTTTCTAGATAAGACGAAAAACTTACTACGTGTTATTCGAACCGTCACCGATGAACGCTCACCTAGTTTAAGGAAGTTATTTTGTCATCAGTTATAACCAACAAATGTGTTGGCTGCTTGATGAAGTTGATCTACAGAATCTGTTATTTATTTAGTATTCATGTGGGTTACGCGTTTGCTTTCCTCGTTCAATTGTAGCATCTTTTTGATGCCCAACTGCCATGCTACCAGAAGGTTGCACGACGGCTGCGATACTGCCAGGTTGCTCAAGCCTAGACAGGGGGAATCGAGTCAACAGAAAGGAGTAAGCACTAGTGATGTGGTGTGAATACGGGGGAGGGCGCCGCAGTTGAAACACTTCATCCTAGTTAAGTTGTTAGGAGAGGGGAAGTACACGTTGAGTGACGGTTCGGAAACATCATGACTACTGAGGATAGACAATTTGGCAAATGTTTGTACTATATTTATGTACCAAGATACCTAGACGCCCAGAATCCTAAGGGATAATCCATCGATCAAAAGATAAACACCTGAGAGGAGGATGAACAACTGTTTTCAATATATCTGCGATCTTCCTTGTGAAAAATATATCACTACTTAATTGATACTATCTAACTTGCATGCCGCCGGAAAGATCACGTGAAGTAGTTTATTGACCCTCGTTGCACATCAGGTGGGTTTTAGCTGGCCACTCCATTTTTGCGGCGGCCTCGTCCGATACATTCAGAATTTTTTTCAGCTGTTGGCGATCGCCGAGTTGACCAGCTAAAACACTGGCGTTAGGCTAGTTGCTTATGGTAGTCTATATCAAATTGATAACCAGTTTCTCTAGCATAAAATTGAGCTTTCATCTTAAAGTGGACTGACTAGTCAAGCCGTCTGGTTGCGAATTTCGCAATGAGACTTTAGTTGCGTCCACACTACTCACACAACTACTGAAACGATGCAAGTCATTCTGTCGCAGATCCACATAAATCGCAGTTTTTGCTTGACCAGTAGAATGTAACATACGACAGAAATGGATGTATTCAACCCACCAGTGAGGACGTTGTCTTTTGTGACAACCAACCCCAATACGGGCCTTGGCAGTCCTTATTTCGGTACGCTACCGAAAATAAAACCTTCGGGACATCCCCAGCTGCGCCAGCTCTCTCTATTTCCAGAGCTCTTTGATTCCATCAGGTTTCTCCATCCGCACGCAGACTACACTTGAGCTGACGTCCGAGAGCTCTTCAAGCTGAATTAGG